GGAACCAGCAGTTAGCGTAACGGCTATGTCACTGGACTCCCATGTAGTCGACCATGGTTCAAGTCCTGGGCCCGGTGGCTTAAACTGACGCTGGGTGCATGCGTGTGCATGCCCAGGATCCCAAGAGGAGAATGAAGGAGAAGGGATTGTGGCATGGCCATCCCCCCAGGGGGTGATTTCTCGCTTCCTGTCTCTCTGTCTCTCTGGCGAATGCATGCACCCTATAGCAAAAACCTCTCCAAGAAAAAGGGAAAAGAAATGTGGTTTGGGGAGGGGATACCACAATTCTACTTAATTAAGAGATACATTTAAAATAATATTTAATTTACCAGAGAGAGACAAAGGGAAAGCGAGAAGGCCAGCTGCCAGGTCTGGGACTCAAACTGTGGTTGACCATGTGGGAATCCAGCTCCTTAACCACCCTGCCACCTGCTGGCTCCAAGGGACACATTTTTACAGTCCAGAGTTCGTTCTTTCTTTTCTTTCTTTCTTTTTGTTTTTAGGTGTTTGCCGTAGGCACGTGTACTTGCCTGAGACGGTCAGAGAGAGAAGGAAAGTAAGGAGGTGGCCATGCCACAGTCCCTACGCTCTCCTCATGGGATTTGGGACATGCACACATGCCCAGCATATTTTTCAAGCTGCCAGGTCCGGGACTCAAACTGTGGTCGGCCATGTGGGAATCTAGCACCTTAACCACCATGCCACTTGCTGGCTCTCTTTTAATTTTTTTTTTTAAGAGAGATTTTTTTCTATAGGGCACATGTGCTCGCCAGAGAGAAAGAGACAGAGAGTGAGAAATCAGCCCCCGAGGGGATGGCCATGCCACAATCCCTTCTCCTTCGGGCCCCTCTCGGGATTTGGGGCACGCACGCACGCACACACGCCCAGAGGGAGTTTCAGGCCGCTGGGTCCAAGACTTGACGTAACCCCTTAATCTTATTTTAACACGTATGCTGAACGCACAGAGGACAGGCCCTGCAGTGCTCCCCCAGTGGGCTCGGCTGGAGCGGGCTCGCTGTACTCGAACCCAGGCTCCTTGGCTTTGGCTTCCTTCTCCTCCTGGTCGTCGCCACTCCTGCTCAGGCTGGGCTCAGTGTGCTTGCAGCGCACCTTGCTCTTCTCCGCAAGGACAGAGGGCACGGCAAGCTGGTCACACTGTGGGCTCCTCCAGGGTTGCCATGGTGACTCTCGTGGGCGTCCCTTTGTGAGTGGCACCCATGCCCCTGATGTCTGCGATGTCACCTGTAGATGGGCGTGGGTGTCCGCGGAGCGGCTCCGTGTGTCCTCGGACCCACACTCGTGCACCGCGGCCTCCCCTCCCCTCCTCTTCGTGTGCGCCACTTTGGTGACGTCCTGGAAGGCAGGCAGCAGCTCTGGCCCAGGCTCTGGGGCGCTTACTCCTCAGAGTATGCTGTTTGGGTACAAAGGCGGTCCCGTGGAGTCAGAGCTGAGGAAGCACCCCACTAACCAACGAAGCCGCCAAGCAGGTACGTGGCCGGGCGGATTCCGACGCACAGAACTACCACCCGGGCGGCCGGGTCTCGGCTCTGTGTGCTCCTGGCTGGCAGGACCAGAGGAGCTCAGTCTCCAGCACCAATATTCTCTCTGTCTCTCTCTCTCTCTTTTTTTTAAGAGAGATTTTTGCTATAGGGTGCATGTGCTCACAGGAGAGGCAGAGACAGAGAAACAGAAAGCAAGAAATCACCCCCCCGGGTGATGACCATGATGCGACCCCTTCTCCTCCAGTTTCCTCTCGGGATTTGGGGCACGTACGCACTCGCGCCCTGTGTGGGTTTCAAGCCACGGGGTCTGGGACTCAGACTGCGGCCGGCTATATGGAGTCCAGAGAGGTAGCCATCACGCCACCTGCTGGTCCCTCCAGACCCCAATTCTGCCAGAGAGAGTGGGGAGGGCGGCTAGAAAGAGGAAGAGGAGGGAGGGGCCAGGGCGGCCTGGGGGCTTGGCCGTGCAGGCGGCGAGGGACTCGGCAGATTAGGGGCCCACACGTGTGCTGCGGCGGTCCGTCTCCAGGCCCCTCGGCCTTCGCAGAGTGCTGGACGGGCTCAGGCTTGTGTGTGGCAGCACAGGGCGGGTCTCACACGGTTCCCCGAGCACTTTCACCGCCTCGTCCGATCTGACCGTGGCCCCTGGAATGAGCCTCCGCCGCCGCCGCCTCTCGGACAATGCCAGCTCCCTGACCAGAGCACATGTGGCTGTGCCATGAAGTCCAGATTAAGAACACAGGAGCCCACGGGGCGCCTGCCGCAGGTGAGCCACAGGTATGGCTCTGGACCGGACCATGACCCCGGCTCCTGTGTTGAAGCCTAGCCCTCCAGCAACAGTCTTCAGAGGCGGGGCCTTGAGAGGTCAGAGTGATTTCTTGCTTTCTATCTCTGTCTCTCCAGTGAGCACATGGTGGTTAAGGTGCTGGACACTCCCACATGGCTGACCATGGTTCAAATCCTGGACTGGTAGCTTGCTTTCTCACTTTCTCTCTCTCTCTATCTCTCTCTGCGCCTCTG